CATGTTGCAAACACCAAGTAACTCTCTCAGTCTTGAAAAAGTTGCTATTTTGAGGGGTTTTGTGAATATATCAGCTTCTTGATTTTCTGTTTTGCAATAAGTCAACTCAATTGTTCCATCTTCTACCAAGTTGCACAAGAAATGATAGCTCACATGTATATGCTTGCTTCTCCCATGCAGAACTAGATTTCTAGAAAGCTTGATAGCTGAACTATTATCATAATAAATTGAAGTGGCCTAATGTTGATTTAGCTCAAGCTCTTCTAGAACTCTTCTCAACCAAATAGCTTGATAAGCACAAGAAGTAGCTGCCACATACTCTGCTTTTGTTGTGGACAAAGTCACAATGGGCTATTTCTTTGAAGACCACGAATTTGCCCCAAATCCCAACATAAAAACATACCCAGAAGTGCTTTTTCTATCATCCAGATCTCTAGCATAATCACTATTTGTAAAACTTGCGAGATCTGTCTAGTCACCCTTCTTGTAGAATAGTCCAAAATCTGTAGTTTCACATAAATACCTGAGAATTCTTTTAGCAGTCTGCAAGTGCAACTCCTTTGAATGCTCTATATATCTGTTAATTAGACTTACACCATGCATTATGTTTGGTCTTGTTGTTGTCAGATACATTAGACTTCCAACAAATTGCTTATACAGTTTGCTATCCATAGATCTGCCTCCTAGATCTTTCACAAGCTTTACACTTTTGTCAATTGGTGTAGTGACAGACTTGCAGTTCTTCATTTGAAATCTGTCTAGAACTTCTTGCACATATTTTTTCTAACAAACAAAAATTCCAAAATTTGACTATACTGCTTCTAGACCAAGAAAATAATGTAACAAACCCAGATCTGTTATATCAAATTCAAGCTTCATGGATTGCTTGAACTTTCCCAACATGCCAAAATCATTCCTAGTATAAATTAAATCATCAACATATAAGCATACTATAATCAATTTACCTCCAGCTCCAAATTTGATGTAAAGTGTATGCTCATAAGGGCACTTTTGAAAACCTTCCTTCAAGAAATAAGCATCAAGTCAACTATACCAAGTTCTAGGTGCTTGTTTTAGTCCATATAAGGCTTTCTTCAATCTGTAAACCTTATGCTCAAAACTAGATTTCACATAAGCAGGAGGTTGATCAATAAATACCTGTTCTTGTTGATTTCTATGCAAGAAGGTCGATTTCACATCAAGCTGGTAGATCAACCATGAGTTATGTGATGCCAAAGCAATCACCAATATGATGGTGTCCATCCTTTCAACTGGAGCAAAAACTTCTTGATAATTAATGCCAAACTCTTGCTTGTAATCCTTTGCCACTAAACGAGCTTTGAATTTGTCAACCTCCCCATTCTCTTTGAGCTTTGTCTTGTAAATCCACTTAACACCAATTATCTTGTGCCGTTTTGGAAGATTTGTCATCTCCCAAGTCTAGTTCCTTTCAATCGAACCAATTTCTTCTGCCATGGCTTTTTGCAACTTTTCTTCTTTAACGGCCTTTTCATATGTCAATGGATCACAATTTGCAAATAGAGTAAAATGAGTGACTGGAACATCATCTTGAGGTAGATTTGTTACCTCATAATCCTCCAACTATACTGGTCTTATGTTTTTGTGTTGAGGTCGTAAACTGGTTCCAGATTCCAATTTTGGAGTTGTTGGTAGACTTTCTCCAGTACCAAGCTTTACTTCTACAGGCAGACTTTCCTCTTTTGCCTTCTTGATGCATCAAGGGCTGCTAAAGTTAGACCTCCATTTTGACCTCCTAAGTTCTACACAGTCAGATCTTCACCATTGTCGAAATTTGCAGGAATCTGTCGCCTAGATTTTTTTGTCCAAGACCAAGTGCTTGCTTCATCAAACACTACATCACAGCTAATGATGACCTTCTTGGTTAAAGGATTGTATAATCTGTAAGCTTTGGATTGATCACTAATACCAAGGAAAATATAAGTTTCCCCTTTGTCATCAAGTTTACTCCTTTTCTGATTTGGCACATGTGCATATGCTATGCACCCAAAAATTCAAAAGTAGTCAACAGTAGGTCTACGTCCACTCCAAGCCTCTTCTAGTGTTATATCTGGAAGTGGAGATGTGGGACTTCTATTCAAGATATGAACACTCCAATTTATAGCTTCTGGCCAAAACTCCTTAAGCAAGCCGCACTTTAACATCAAACTTCACATCATATTCATGATTGTGCGATTCCTCCTCTCACATACATCGTTCTGCTGAGGTGTATATGTTGCTGTGAGTTGTGTTTTAATACCATTGGACTCACAAAAATTTGGAAATTCCTTTGAGTTAAACTCATTACCACGATTTGTACGCAGAACCTTTATAGATCTGCTAGGCTCATTCCCAGCCAAGACTTTAGAATTTTTAAAGGCTGCTAAGGCTTGTGACTTCTCTCACATACACCATTCTGTTGAGTTGTGTTTTAATACCATTAGACTCACAAAAATTTGGAAATTCCTTTAAGTTAAACTCATTACCACGATTTGTACGCATAACCTTTATAGATCTGCCAGCCTCATTCCCAGCCAAGACTTTAGAATTTCTAAAGGCTG